TAAACACCGCAGTGCGTGGTGGAATCACGAACTCTGCAATATTTACGTGTCTGCACCACGCAAACGACCCCAATGTAAAGTGAATGAGGCTCCTTTGTCGTGGTGCACGCACGCATTTCTACGTCCAGCAGTGAGCTTGTATTCCATCAAACTTTTTAAAATCTACTTTATAGCTTGCAGTAACTCACGGGAAAAACATTTTTTCCTCAGAATGTATTATGGTGCATTAGTTACGAATTTTTGTTCTCAAAAAACAGTGCATTGTGTGTAATACAACTGTGATTTTTATTAAATGTGTTCGTTTTTAAGGAAGGCCAGAGCTTCAGCTGTGTCAAATAGATTGTTGCCTTTAGTTAACGTCATTTAAAAGATAATTATATTCCTATCTGATCATGTCCCCTTTATTGTATTACGGACGCAAAGAGCAATGTGAGTGTCCATTCCCATTGGATAACGGAGGATTTTACACCCGGAAGTAAGTATTCTCTTTAGTGTCGATTGATTTTACAAGGCAAGGCAAGGCAAGGCAAGGCAAGTTTATTCATATAGCACCTTTCAACACAAGGCAATTCAAAGTGCTTTACAAAAAATGAAAGACATTAAGAAAATGGCATTTAAAGTCAGTCATTAAAAAGAAAAGATAATAAAATAAACATTAAAAGAAAAAATACATGGATAAAAGTTACAGTGCAGTTTAAGATGTGAATAGTTCAATTAAAAGCAGCGGCAAAAAGAAAAGTCTTTAGTCTGGATTTAAAAGTAGTCAGAGTTGCAGCGGACCTGCAAGTTTCTGGGAGTTTGTTCCAGATATTTGGAGCATAATAACTAAACGCCGCTTTTCCATGTTTAGTTCTGANNNNGTGTGCCTTGGCAGTCTCGGGGGGGACATGTCCCCCCTGTCCCCAGTGGAAATTACGCCATGTGTGTGAGTGTGTCAAGTGCAATAAATAAATATGCAAGTTGCAACACACATTGAGGTTTCGTTTATGCATAGGGTAGATTATTTAAATTACATTTCCTTTTTTGTTTTGTGTATTTTTTACATTTTGGATTTGCTTGGCAAACTTTAGAACATGCCCCACGAGCGACTCACGTTGCCCCTGCGGGCGACTAAGTGGCCACACCGGGTTGGCTACCCCTGGTTTAGAGACATTTATCATTTTAAATACAATGCTATACTCTTAGAATAAAACATTTGAATATCTTCACGTGTAGTATTCAGAAAAACGACAAGATAATGGTGTTCTAAAAATATGTAACACTGTTTATTTGAGTTTAGATTCTGGTTGTATATTTCAGATATAATTGGAGACATGAATGTTAGTTTGGACTTGCAACAAAGGAACACGCTAATTACTATAATCAGTTTTAAGCTTCCCTCAGTTATTAACCTGTCAACTAAATCTAATGTGTTGGTATTTAGTTGTGTTAGCGTCTGTGGACTCACAGCATTCCTGTATTTTCAGGTTATTTCTATATGCAAGGTGAATTGATGTTTGTGTTATTTTAAATACCACTCATTTCATCATTTCTTTACACATATGTGCTGATGTTTTGACCGCCGTGTTATTCAGGTTTCTAAAATCAGTCAGCATGTGAAACCACTCAGGGACTCACAATATATCTTACTGTTTTACCAAAGACCTTAATAATCATTAAAAATTCCTATAATAGTTATTTCACTATAAACTGTCAAGCGTCTCTTCTCAAGGAGTAACAGTTGCTCCAAAATGTTAGTTTCTGTCTAGCCCAGTTTGGAAGATTTCTTGAAATTAAGAAATGCAAATCTTCAAATTACTCATAATAACACTGTTCACCCTGAAATCTGAACTCTTCTTTAACCTATTTCATCTAAAAGCTCTTCTCCTCTGCCCACCAAACACTTAGCGCTCTTATTGCCATTCAAATGAGACTTGTGCTGGAACATTCTCTGCTAATAATCACTCTGAGGAGCAGAGGGGAGGTTAAATGATGGGGAATAGATTGCTGAATCCAAAATATTCTCGGTTTTGCGTTTGAAATGTGCAAATGAGAAGCTATCATTTAACAACTCGTTATAAAACGTCTAGACACTCCTGGAGCCATGCCTCATAGAACGAGATTTATCTATTATTATGAATGATTCCCACCCTTCACAGACTTTTATACATTTAGAACTAAGATGGAGGAAGAGATCAGAAAAGAGAAGTTAAAAATCATTAAAGCTGATTTACCATGGTGATTCCCAGACTCCAGATGTCAGATTTAACGCTGTAGCCCTTCTGGTTGGTCTCAGGGTTGATCCTCTCAGGCTGCGGGACAGAGGGGAGGAATGATGATGTCACGTATGGCAGCGGTTGTCAGGGACAACCTGCACGCTTCCCTGCCATCCTGACCTTCTTGTACACACACAGACGGCGATGTTCCCTCAGCGCTAACCTGCCCTAAAAACCACTCAGCCAACCAGCGGCAGAGCGGGTTAAAATGTAACCCGGCTCAATAAGTGTGCGGGTAATAATGAGAGACTGAGAGAGGGACGGTCTACTCATGAGGCTGGTCTCATTATTGAAAGGTGTTTGTGAACTTATGGAGTTTGTCCTCATGGCCAAATCCCACCATTGTTATGAAATCAAATCCTACTAAATGTTCTTTACAAAAAGTCATGTTTTTTTTAAATGAACATTGAATCAACTAATTCATTATGATGTACTTTTATAAAGACTGAATCAAAAGTCATTGATCTGTTATTGAATGAGTTATCTCATCCTTTACCAGCTTCAAAACTAGAATGATGAACACATTAATGCATGACAAACTATAAACCAGATATATAATAGTATGTATTATTCCCAGAATGTACTTCTGATCCAATATCCAGTAGATCCAGTAGATCCAGTATATTTTGCTGCTAATACTTATTTTTACTTAAGTAACATTAGCAATGCATAACTTTGACTTGTATCAGAGTATTTTTACACTGAATTATTATTACTTTGACTTAATATGAAATCAGCTGAAATCCACTCCAGGAAGCGTTGTAGATTCAGCTGCTGATTCAGCTGCTGATTTTGTGTCGGTAAAATGAAGCTTCAGATTTTCAGCTGTAAAACATGTTTCTCTCTCTGTACTTACTGCCATGTAGGGTTTGCAGCCGGCGTCCATGGTTTTGGCCACGGAGTCCACCAGGTAGCCGCTGATGCCGAAGTCGCACATCTTCACCTGGCCCTGCGTGTTGATCAGCACGTTAGAGGGCTTCACGTCTGCAACAACACAGCAAACAGAACACTTAGTTTGTGTGCTGCCACTTTTAAAGAAGTCTCTCTTTGTGTTTGTGTTATTTTTGTCACTTCTAGTTGCATCAGATGAAGCTGTAAAAAGAGCCACACAGCGGTAATGGCGGGGCACAGAGGTATGAAACAGGAAGCATTATCCTTTGAAGAAGCATCATTTTAACTTAAAATATAACTGTCTTTTTAAACGTTTAAACGACTTGGCTTCAATTAATGTGTTTTTGGTCTTTGCTGAACATGTTTAAATGATGCTGTACAGTTTATCGTAGCCATATATATAATGTCCACCAGGCGTAAGAGTGAACCCTCACTGTTTATTATGACCACAACCAACAACAAAAACTATTACAAAATTCTGGCTACAGAGGAACCGTCCCTTCATACATTAACGGTACGTTCACACGGTTCCGTTGCGTGCTTCCACGGAGACGCTTCCCATTCACTTTGAATGGGGTGACGTCAAGCTTTGCCGAACTGCATTGTGGTTCCGCCGCGTCGCTTTGCCTCCGTTGCTCGCTTCGAAAGTTGAGAAAAGTTCAACTTTTCAAGTGTCGAAAGGAAGCGCCAGCCAATCAAATCATATGCCAGTACAAGCGCTAGCCAATCAAACTGCATGCTTGTGTGTCCGGGGCGGGAGATGAATGTCATTGTTTGTTGGTCTCACGCCAGACACGCCCACCGGCAAGCTTCAACGCGACGGAACCGTGTGGACGATACGTTAGGCTCCGGAAAAATTGAATTGTTATAAATGTTTAAAGATGCCTTATTTTTGTCTGACTTCTTTTATATGCATTGTGAACTGTACCTGTGCATTTATTTACCTTTTATGAGAAACAAAATAAACTCTGCCTTCAAAGTAATGTTACCTTAGTGTTGGAGGATTATAAAGTTTAAAAGGAAAAGGTACGAGCAGAGGTGTAAAGTTTAAGGGAATTGTACTTTACTTGAGTATTTCACATTTTTGCTACTTTTACTCAATTACATTTATTTAATACCTTTAGTTACTTTACAGATCTGGATTAATGATATGAAATATAATCACCTCTTAAATCAGACTTTAGTTCCACCTGGAGTAAATTCACAAGCTACCCTTTAGTATGCAAAGTCATTCAAACTAGCTGCACCTTTACCAGCTTTGAGAACACTTTCATGATCAATCATTATAAAACATATCATATTATTCTGAAATGGACCAATCTGCAGAATAACTCATTTTACTTTTGGTACTTTAGGTATATTCTGATTATACTGGAGTAACATTTTGAATGCAGGACTTTTACTTGTAACAGAGTATTCCTACACTCTGGTACTTCTACTTTTACTTAAGTACTTCTCCCACTTCTGTCTGTGATTGACGTCAGTCATACTACATTCAATCCACTTTTTATACAAACATATTGATAAATGCAGCTTTTAATGGAAAATAATTTGAAGTCTGTAGTACTGAAAGTCAAAATGATAATGTAAATAATGCAGGCTTTGATGTCCATGGTAATGGATGAAATGACTCGAGAGGCAAAGAGGCTGCTAATTTTAGCATCATGTGAAAAAGAATGGAAAGCAATGGCTGCCTGAAAGATCAGATAAAAGACTTTCATAATTATATAACCCAGCAGCATTTGTGACTTTATGCTAATGTTTAAAACATGACTGACGAGATCCTTTAATGAGAGCTGGATGGAGTAACGAAAGGGAAGAAAGCCTCTCATGCAGCGGCGTGTTGATGCATATCAGAAGTGGATATGGACACTAAGAGCTTTAATGGCTCTCCACTTGGCTCTTACCTCTGTGTATGACTTGCAGATTGCTGTGCAGATGCTCCAAAGCTTTTACTATCTGTAATAACAAAGCTCATTAATAAGCAAATGAGAGTTAGACAACAATTATGTGTCATTAAGCTGAGCATTCACAGGAAGTCAGTCATTTTGAATTGTGCTGCTGTGATTTGAGTGGAACCCACGGAGACAGCGATCTTTCCCAGGATGTCCTCGGGGATGCTCATTCCCTTCTCGATCACCTGCTTGTAGAACTTGTCCAGGGAGGTGTCCATCAGCTCCATGCAGATCCAGACATCGCCCTGCCGACACACGAGGACAGAGATGAGGAAAACACAACACCAGGACGCGTTCCAGACAGACGGACAGGAAGACACAGAGTTTCCAGTGTTTACAGTCACGGCGAGGAAATCCTGAACATCCACTCACTGCTGCAGGAAGTAGTCTGCATCCTTCACAGGTGTTCAGAGATCTGGACTAAAGAGACCTTTTTTAATTTAAATATTTTTACAGTTTCTTCATCATTTATATATATATATTTTTTTTTTTTACATATATTATTATTTATTTATTTTACTTTTAGAATCTTGTCTTATTTTTTATTCTTGTTTTCTTTCTTTTAATCATCTAACATGTTTGTCTTTTTTTAAAGCTAAAACCAAAAAATTGAATTATAAAAAGAATAAAACATATACATTTTTTTGATCAGTTTACAAAAAAAATGCTGTGCACTTAAAATAACACAATATAATGTGAGGAAAAAAAGAACAAAGCACTTTCTGGTTTCTAAATAAATAATATTTATTTTTTTAAATGTTCCTTAACAAATATGACGTTTTTTTCCTCGGAAACTAAATTGTCTGCTAACAAGAGAGGTCAGACTTCTTGTCTAAATGCATACTTAAATACAAATAAATGATTCAAATCAGAACAGAGAAAAAAGATATGAACGTGTGCAGCTAAGGTTAAAGGTCAGATGTATTGAAGTTTGGAACACAGCCCTATGGTGTGTCCTCAGGGCGACTGTGGCTGCGAGGGAGAGCGGTCGTCTTTCAACCAGAAGGTTGTGGGTTCGATGCCAGCCCATGCAGTCAACATGTCGAAGTATCCTTGGACAAGATACTTAAACCTGAGTTGATCCCGATGGCATGGCCAACGGTGTGTGTGAATGTGTGTGAAAGTAGGTACGCTCAGATTACTCTTAAAGACTGGATAAAGCGCTATATAACTACAGTCCATTTACCATTCCTCTAATCAGACGAGTTGTCTCCTACAGGTGAAACCTTCTAAATGTTTCCATCTCTACAGCAGGTTACCTCTCTGAAGAGCGCTCCGTAGAAGGTGACGGTGTAATAACAGTCCACGGTCCTCATGGAGATGTCCAGATCCATGAGCAGCCTCTTCTGCTCCTGAGTGTTCACGGTGGCCCGGATCCGCTGAGGACAGGAAGTACAACGGATCAGAACCACAAGGGCAACCTCATCTACGTCAATGCTTTGTTTGTTCTTCATTTAGAACATATGTTGTACATGTTTGTTAATTTACCAGAATGCAGAGGCTGTAATTCTGATGTAAGTTAATATGAATATGGCTTCAAATGCACCATGTGATTTGATGTGAAATGCGATTTTGTGCCAAACAGGGTTGGTCATTCAACGCTAACAGCTTACTTGTCTGATAACCAAAAATCCAGATGTCCCAAGACTAACATCCTTTTAACTGTTAGATATGTAGTTAAACAACCATGAATTTATAAAGTATGTTGTAAAAATGTGGCAAAAAAAGAAGGAAAGGTAAACAAATTACCGTTTCTGGCAGACAACCATAATGCTGACAGGGGACTTTGAATAAAATAATGATTTATAAGATTATTAGAGATAATATAGGTATACGAGTTAACAAAATATATAACTAGGTGAAGTCCTTTTCAGACATTTGTATGCGGGGAGGTACACATTATAAATGTAGATCCTCCATGTTTGTTGATGAAAGCCCCCTGAGACAAATGTGTTTACTGATATTGGGCTAAATTATTCAAAATTGATTTAAATATTCTTTCAATGATATACAACCTTAAGCATGAAAGCATGGGGGCTTGTTGGAAAGCAGGGACCCTCACCTTCACAGCCATGATCAGGCCACTGGGCACGTGCCTCATCTTCTCCACCACGCCGTACGCCCCCCGGCCCAGCTCGCAGATCTGCTCCAGGTCATCAGCCTTCACCTCGAAGTTCTGCAGACACCACAGAGGAACAAGGCCGCGTGAAAGGGGGATATAAACACTAAAGAAATATATATTTTTTATTTAAAAGAACGAGGCTTTGATTAAAGAGAGTTAACACAGAAGGAGAAGACAGGAGTGGGTATGCCTCATCTACTGTAGTTGTAGTTGTTGAACTATAAGTTCTGAACTTTAGTACAAATGTAAGGTACCTACTTCACTTATGTACTTTCATGTTATGCTACTTTATGGATCAGAGATAAACACTTTGTTTGTCGTGCAGCTATAGTTACAGTTTTCATCCCCTTCGTGTCTAGTGGAAACCTCTCCAGATGTGTTCATTCTGAATGTTTTCGATTAACTGAATGATGAAGTGTTTCTGTATTTGTTGAGAAAATTGTCCTACTTCTTTAGCCAAATATAAAAAAGCCTCTTGAAATAGATGTATAAATAATCACAACCTTACACATACAGTATAGAGGGGAAACATGCATCAAACATACTGATGCAGCAGTAATAGGAATCCAGAAACATCATATACTTTTATTGTAAAACAATGAAATGTGGCATTTTACTGCAATTCAATTTGAATTTTGAAATATATTTTGCTCATATTTCTTTCATACTTCTTAGAGAGGACATATTATGCAAATGTTCTGGTTCATATTTGTATTTAGTGTCTTTACTGGGACATGTCTCTATGCTTTAATGTTCAAAAAGCTCTTTCTTTCTCTCACTGCCTGGGCTGCATCACCTCTTTTCACCCTCTGTCTGAAACCAGAGCCCAGTCTGCTCTGATTGGTTAGCTGGCTGGCTCTGTTGTGATTGGTCAACCGCTTGGAGATGTCCTACCACTTAGCCTATCATGTACAAAGTGTTGGAGCTCCAGCCAATAGAAGTGGGAGTGTGACATTGTGATGTCACTATGTTACAGAAGTAAACGAACTTTGGGATTTTAGCAACCTATATTAAGGAAAGGGAAAACCCAAAAAACATAACAGGGCCTCTTTAAATACGTTTTTGAATGCAGAGATGTTACTTGTGACAGTGGTTTAAGGTATTTCACTGAAGTTAATGATTGGAATACTTTTTCAACCACCAGCTTCCTACATTATGTAAATATTCTTCGAAGTCTGAATCCTTAAATAACTCCATGCAGCAAGACTAGTCTTTCATCTCTTTTACATTATTCAAGCAAACACCAGAGATCTTTCACTTTGACTTCTGGCCAAACTCGAGCACAGAAAAACAGGCAGCTCTGCCAATGGAAAATTCCACTTATTTGATGAGTTTAAAATAAATATTTTTACTGCCCGACGGGCAATAAAAGACATTCCAGTCTCCCCACAATCAGAAGTGTTCAATTCGGCTGTAATGTTCACCCGGGCGTTCTTTACGGCTAACAGACCCTCTGCTAAACTGACCTGTGAGGATTACTGAAACACTGGGAGAGGAAGAAAAGTAAACAGTGACGAGTTATGCAAGATATAAAAGGTAGGAGAGAAAATGTATAAACCTGGAACGGGATTAGGAAAGGTGAAAACATGAATTATGTCCTTATCTAATGAAATTACCTTCTCTCCGATAGTTACACAAGCTTTCGAATCCAAATCTCTGGGGGGTCTGAAACACACAAAGATATGACTTATATTATGACCAGGTTATATTTGACTTCTGAGGAAGATACAACAAAGTGAAGCAGGAAGTCAAAGTCAGGAAAATGTTGAACACAGATGAAAATGTAAATGTCTTTGTTCTCAACCCTACTGAGGAAGCATGAGCAACCTGTGTGGATGAATTCAAACGATACTGTATATCGCTCATGTTGTTCATAGAGGTGTTGAAGAATATTTTATGTGGATCATAAATTAAATTGTCGTCCAGTCAAAGTTATAAACAGATTTATAAAGCCAAATAAATGCAACAAAATGCATATATGTGATATCATTTAAAAGTTACATAAAAACAGCAAATAATTGAAATAATAACTTTGATGATCGGATTAAAAAACAAAAAAATGTACAAATGAAAGAAATCAATTAATAAACAAAATAATAATACAAAATCACAAAAAAAATACATGTTTTAAATAAAAGAAATAATAGAAATTAAAAACACTAATTAATTGGGACAAATCTAATCACATTAAAAGGGTGTTGTATGGGTTAAAAGTATTTGCATTTAAAATATTAAATCAAATACAATTGTAAAAAAATAAATAGAAAAAATAAATCAGTTCAATAATTGATTACAATTTTTTTTAAATGAACTTAATTTTTAAATATAAATAACCCAATTATACAATATATTAAGGAATTCAATTAAATGTAAAAGATTACAAAAAAAATGATAATAAAAAATGTGAATGCAATGGGAGCACAGAGTGTAATACAGCAGAAAGTCTGACTCTCCATATGAATTTCCCCTGAACCCGAACCTGCTGCAGGTTTCTCAATGAAGATGATTCACTTTGAGACATTTCGTTTTTCTGTTGCTCTGCAAACAGCTGCAGTCTGAGCCTCATGTTAACAGGAGCGAGGAGAGGATGATGATGAAGGAGCAACAGAACGTACAAATGATTATTGTGTTATATAACAAATGTCAGGGGTGTGATGTGAAGATATGAATACTCTAACACTCACGTTTGTATTCCAATTACAATACACTGATGATAATATAAGCCATCATTGAACTTCCCTCTCCTTTTGACTGCAGTTCATCAGATAATCATTTACCACATTCAGCAGTCTGTCTACTAGGTTTCATTTTGTGTGTGATGGATGAAAATAGGGGACATCATAAATCGTGACAATTAACAATAAGGAAAAAGTCTTACACTGCTGTGGGAGGAGGCTGCTCAAACACCTCCTTGGGGAGCTTGAGCAGCGTCTTCCTCTTACCTGAAACACACAAGAAAAACATCATTAGAAAACAATGGTGAGAGACAAAACTTGAAACCATGAGACTATGTACAGACACTTTATTGTTTATTCCAAATAATATTTCTGGTTTGTAGTTCTTCTAAATTATTCATTGATTGGTCGAGCATGTACAGTAATCATCCTCAACAGATTTTTTAGCAAAAAAAGCTTTGTTTTAACGTTATTTATGTCAATAAAGCACTATTCATTATTCATATTAAAGATTAATCAAGAGCTTGTTGTGTTTTATAGATCATTTATTTGGTAAAATCTGAAAAATAGTGAAAATCCTAAAAACCAATAGATATTCAGTTTGATGACAATAACAGAGAAAATGGGAGCAGTTACGCCTCAGAATAATCACTGAATGGACTGATTGTAAAGTATTATGGACATGACCTCAATATTTTTACTTTATAATCTAATTGCAAAATTAGTATGGACATGAGCTAAATATGTTCACGTTATTGACTTATCAATTATGGAAATGCAAAATACATACAAAATATCAAAATGACCTCGATAATTTTTTCATTATCAACTCACAATATTTTGACATGACCTTAACATTTCTTGCGTCATCGATTTATCGGATGTTTTCCACAATTGTACGATTCATCTGAATAATTTTTACATTATCAAAATATCGTACCATATATGGAAATGACCAAACATTTTGAATGAACTTGATATTGCCTGTTAACATGCATGTTTTTTTAAGTATGAATGTAACTGACATCATGATGCCAGTATGCCTTGTTGATTAAATACAATTATTAGATCATTTACATTTTTGCCAATTAATCTTATGTTGACAAATCGACTACTGGTTTCCGCTTAATGCGGGTCAGGTTTAATAAAAGCGTTTGACCACATCTGAATCCTCAAAACAATAATTTTGCAAATCGGAATCCATTGAATTGCCATATTGAATCACAAAAATGTAAACATTTTAAGTAACAGAAGTGATGCATTAGTTAATATTCAAGCAACTAAAATCTAATATGAAAAGAATCAGGGCTATAACTACCAAATGTTTTTTTATATTGTATTATAGACTGATCATAATACAGTCTTCGATTGTAAAAGGTAAATGGGATGCATTTATACAGTGCTTTTCCAGTCGTTGTTTTTTCTTTTTATACGTTAGGGAAGTAGCCAAAGGATTCCAATGGCAAAAAATACCAACCACAACTCCCAAGATCCTAAAATTATGCTGTTTTAATTTTTATTTTCCTTACCAACATTTACAAACAGCTAAATATTAACTTATCTATCATGAAAGACCAAAACAAATCAATTTCGATAATATTTAAGAAGCTTGAACCTGGAAAAAATGTTATCCAAATTGATGCAGATGCATTTCCTGTCAATCAATGTACGACCCCATCTCTAGTTAAATCCCTTTACATGACATACCTGTGTGTAAAGCACTCACTTCGCACTAACTTCTGTGGTAGTCTGAGAGGGAAGTACAAGCAGGACGGTCTCGCTGTCAGCGGAGCATACCACAAGATGAAAGCATACTTAGCTCCTTAACATAGCTCTGGAGGAGAGATCAGTTGATCAGAGTTCATCCTGGTCAACCTATTACTCTTGTTCTCCCCCCCAGCAGCAGAGAGCCGTCTGTAAACCCCTTAATGGGATTTTCTATCAATTTCCAGACAAGCTGCCACGACTGAAATGAGGACTAAATCTATTTTTAGATTCAAGAAACGTCAATGGAACCTGAGAGTGAGTCAGTGCAAGTACTTCTGCTGAATAACTGATTACATGTATCTGCCAAAACACACGCTGCTTCTGTCCGGAGCCAACAGCATCTATCCTGCACTTTAAAAAACTCCCACTGATGCAAAACGACTCAAACTTCCTGCAGCTATCACTCCGAAACCTTCATATGTATCATATATGTATTGCATCTGCAACAGAAGCTTTATCTCATCATTGACACTTACGGTTGGATGCAGTAAGTGACTCCAGATCCTAAATGAATGTAACAGGCGCTGAAAGCAAGAAGAAGAGGATGATGGTGAAGAGGTCTGGCAGCTAGGATGTGCTTGCTCCATCTGGAGTTGCAGCACCGTTGGTTTAATAGCCGGGCACCTTGTTAACGTGGTGTCACAGGTTCCTTAGGGTGTGACTCCGTGTGTGTGTGTGTGTGTGTGTGTGTGTGTGTGTGTGTGTGTGTGTGTGTGTGTGTGTGTGTGTGTGTGTGTGTGTGTGTGTGTGCTTTGTCTCCACACAGCATCTGGCTCAAACCTCCTCAGACCAGGTTGAGCTGCTATGAGCCTGTCAGAGTTTGTTGCAGATTTGTTCTGATAAAAGGTGCCACTGATGTGTTTTTGTGAGCAGGTGTCTGAAGCACAAAGCTTTAAGGTGACATTTAAAATCACCCCAGTATGTGCCGCCCTATGATGTTATAAAGGTGCATATTTAAAAAGGTGTGTCTTTTTCAAAAGAACAACTCCTCAAATAAATACCTGGAATTACTCACATTGTTGTCTTGTAAACTGTCGGTTATAGAGGACATATTATAGTTATTTTCAGGTTCATATTTGTATTCTGTGCCTCTACTCTACTGAAATGTCTCCATGTTTTAATGTTGAAAAAGCTCTTTATTTCTCTCATACTGCCTGTGCTGCAGCACCTCTTTTCACCCTCTGTCTGAAACCAGAGCCCAGTCTGCTCTGATTGGTTAGCTGGCTTATGTAGCACATCATGGACATTGTGTTCAAGTGATAGCCAGTAGAAGTGAACAAGTTACATAGTGATGTCACTATTTTGTGGAAGTAAATGGCTTTTAGCGCTTTTTACAACTTGTATACCCTAATGATTAAAATAAGGGCTGAAGTGTGTTCATACTGGGTAGTTTATTTAGCGAAATTGTATACGCTGATTTACAGATATCCCTTTACCAATGTTAGTCAATGGGAAAACGTTTTTCTGGGCCCAAATGCATCAAGAACTACAACTTAAACTTTTCGGCAGCTGGGCAAATTTGCTTCAATGGATGGCACTCTTCCTTGGGGCTTGTCCTTCTGGAGGGAAATTTGGGATTTTAACCTTTGCAGACCATTTACATGCAGACAAACCTATATAACACACTACAGGGAAGGGAAAGCCCCATAAAGCATAATAGGGCCTCTTTAACAAAGTGTCACACATGGTGCGTCCATAGTGTCCTGGTTTGTTCAAACAGTACAGGGTGTGCCACACCGTGCTATGCGGCTCTCCACCGGGGGCCTCTTGCTGCCTGCCTCCAGGTCTCCACTTTCCAAAGCAGCTTTGTTGCACTAAAATGTCAGTTTGAGCCCCTCCTACATGCATTTACACAGACAACAATAGTAACTGGAAACCGACTCTGTTCTAACAATGAGAAGCAAAGAAAAACCTCTGAGAGAGAGATACAGCACCTGCACGACCCTCTCAATGTGTTACTTTAGAGAACATTATTTTTCATCTGCATCAATGAACTGGAATGATGCTGATTGGCTGCTGATCAAAGATTACACAGCTGACATACTTAATACACCAATAATGAAACATGTGCAACAAGCTAACATCTGCCATTATCTGCCTCCATAGGCCCAGCTGTAATTTACTTCTTTTAAAATCCAAACCAAACTGCATTAAACCAAGCGGATTATTTAGATCAGTATGTCCTGTTGACTGTGGACAGGAAGTGGACGCACATTAATTCATCCTAACATCACATGTTGGTTTGTTGGCTATGGTTTTGAAGCTTTGAGTTTAGGCACTATATGTTTTTTTTAGGAACCAGAATGGATCAAGAAATGTTTTAGCACCTAGAATGTTATGATTAACTTTCAAGAGACGGAAAACAAAGACACTTCAATGGGATAAAGATGTAAGACGAAAAGACTGACTTCACCATGGTTGAAACCTGTCCATATTACCTTAAGTGTAACAAATTGAACATCTTGCATGTATTGAGTAAGACACTAAACTAGCAATTGAGACCACATAGTTATTAGGAAAAGAAAAACTAAGATAATAAATCAAGAAAGAAGTTACTCATTTTCAATTTTCTCATTGTAATCAGCATTCAACCCCTAATAGTCTGTTAAAAAAAAGCAGGTTTAAGGCTCTTGCTATTGGATTGTACATGACCGGACAACTGTCACGTCCACATCAGTATTGCAACTATAACAATACTACTTAATTATATTTAAAAACGAGTGTTAAGAGTAGGAAGACACAATGAAGGAGATAACATGAATGAAGAAACTCAGTATGAGTGAGACCAAAACACAGCTGCTAGCCTGCTGCTAACAGCTTCTTAGCTTACAGTAGTAATTGGGAAGATTCCTGACAGTAACTCAAAGACATGGAACGCAACATGTACAGTGTAAATTCACCTATAGGGTTCAAAGCAGGAAGAGAAGGGAGCGTTGATAAACTTCCCCTAAACGTATCGTAAAATGTCCACAATATTATTCTAATTCTGAATTTGACAGCATGCATTACGTTTTTACTTATTATTATTATTTCCAGTACAAGCATTAATTAAACAAATCCACAGCCCAAATCGTATCACTTCCTCTTGGCTCATGGTTTAACTTTCCCTGGAATCTGATTTATGATTTATGACTGACACATCCTCTTTGGCAGAAGTAACTACGGCTTCCATATGCAGAGAATGGATCAATAAATACTTTGGCTTTCATTAACCAGACTGGGAACTTTATCAGATGATTGACCTCAAACAATGCCGGAACAGAAGCTCCATTGTGTGATTACAAATGAAGCGACAGCATCCTTCTTCCTTTCTCCTCCAGCACTGAATGGAGAATCTCCTGCCTGACAGCCGCTCATATCAGAGACAAGATGCAGCGTGCTCCTGACAGATTTATTCTCCAACCTAAGCATGCACATTAACATGCACAATGCTTTTCAAATGAAAAGCCAACAAACAGGCGAGACGCAACGTGTATAATGTGGGCTGCAGTCACAGATTT